TTGCATTGAGGTGCCAATCATGTTTGACAGGTAGCAAGACACGACTATTTCGATTCCTTTCTAAAAAAAAAACCTGCGATGTTTGTGTGGCTCAGAAGGACCCTCACAGCTAAGGCTTTCAAATTTTTCTACACGTAGGACATGTTCAAAACCTTTGAGTGACAGAGTGATGTCATTTGAAAGATTTACACTCAGTTTCGCTTTTTCGTGGGTGTTCTAGTCACGTCCGTGTTTACAACTCCTCATAGTTCAATTAAGGCTTTTAAGTTGTTCACACATTCAACCGGATGATGATGGAGGCGATCTCCATTGGTTTCCGAGATACACAAAAAGTAGGCGAGAGTCCATGTCAGATTTGCTAGCGCCTCTCCTTGTCTCGTCCATCCGCAGAAACTGTTGATTCAGAGGTCTACCTCCAAGCTCAAAGCGCCTCAACTTATCACTATCGTGATGGTGGCCAAGTTGGAAACGCAGAAGGGGGAGCAATGACGTCAGTCAAACTCGTACGCGCACACACCCACCACTTTGCGACTTGAAACACAACCGAGGATGAAATACCGAGAGGTGTTGGCATTGCAAATGCGCTATCGCTTGCATGTGTGTGTGTTTACATAACCCAGTTTGCACAGGTCTTGGCACAATGCCAAATCGTGGCACGGCACCTCGTGTCCCGATTCCTTGGACAAGCCACCGCCTTCGTTGAGGAGCCCGAAGGTGCATAACGCAGATACTTTGCTAGTCTTTACCTACCTCGAAAGGAGAATTCTGCTCAGACCTACCGTCTCCGGAGCTGAGGGCATCACCAAAACAAGGTAAAATTACGAAATAGTCTGGAGTAGATTCACTGACTAGGCATTAAAAAGTCATGGATTTACAAAAAGACCAGGAAGTACGGATTGCTTTTGTCAAAATCCAAAAAGGGTGAGGAGTCATTTAAGCATCGTTATAATCAGTAGGTCTCGCCAACAGAAGGCGGGTGGAGGGCGCAGAGTGGGAGGGGTAGCCGGCGAGAACACCTGAAAGACCTCGGATGGTAGGAGGGAGACACATGGCAGTTGGTTGTGACTAGACGGGCGTAAAGCGGGCGGGTGAACCAACGTAGGGATATCCGGGTCGTCGCTTACAGGGTTCAGAGGTGAGTGCACCTGCTGTTCGTGAATCGGATGTTGCTGTCTCCAATTCCACTGGGTGAGGATCCGACACAACAAAGTTTTCAAAAAAGTCGCACAAAAGGACAAAAGATGGCCGTAGTTCAGGTGTAGCGTCCCAAGTGTGTAGCATCACCTCATAGATGGCCGCTGGGCAGGTGGCTGGACAGGGCATACGATAGCCATTGTTCACTTGATCAAGCGTCTCCATCGTACTCATGGAGGGGAAGGGCTCATGGCCATGAGTTATGATTTCGTACATCACCACACCAAACGACCAGACGTCCGACTTAATTGTGAACTGACCTTTAAACGCCGCCTCTGGAGCTGTCCACTTGATTGGAAATTTGGCGCCCTACAAGTGGAAATGTACATATCACCAAGTGAGTGGAGCATCCAAAGTCCTGAGCGTTTGTCGACTTCCCAGTCGAATTGTGCCCTTGGGATGGATGCGTGGCAGTATGTTAGCCTTTGAAAGGCCACGGCAATAAAATGCAACCTCGAGGAGGCAGATAGCATCTCCACTCCAAAACAAAGGAAAGCCGCTTTAAAATGACAGGATTCTACGCCCGATCTTATCTACGCCATTTGAGGACAGAAATAAATGTAGGAGGCATTCATTGTCTCGCTTCAATGCCTCAATCACTGGTGGTGGTGTTGAAGTCTAAAGAACAGCTTTCAACGAACGAGAAGTGAGTTGAGCGATACCACCTTTCCAAAGACCATCTTCCGTGCACGTTGGTAATGCTGACTTTCGACCTACCGCCTTGACACAGTCAATCCGCGTCTGACTGCCTCTTGACACCTGATCGGAGTACAAGAGGTGAATCTGTTTATCCTACTTTTCACCTTGAAAATGCTGTTATTTCGTAGAGACGCATCTTGAAAGCACCGCAAGCCTATGAATGCTCCAAGCTAGAGGAGGGAGAGAGGACTGCAACAGTCCACTTAATCCACAGGGCATATAAAGTGATGACAGGCCAAGGAATAAAAAAGCAGGTGGACAGACATTTGCTGGAGCAGTGCATCGCAGTTCCGTTTAAAGGACATAAAAAAACTCGCTCCCACGAACAATAGAGTCGTCACAGTGCAGTACGGTACAATACAACACAATGTAGGGCGGTTAGTCATGCAATTGAAGGGCCTGCCAAATATCCACATCTCTCTGACACACACACACACACACAGGGAAGAGAGAAAGAGGAGATTTTGACGGACGTTACTAATTGTTTACGCGGGAGGGAGGGGAGAAGACGAGAAATCATCAGAGAACAAACAAAGAGTAGTGACACAATCGAAATGGACACCTTCAAAGGGGAAAAAAACGCACCTGTTTGGCGTTGTAGGCTTTGGTGGTGGCGTCAATAGCACGAGTGAGACCAAAATCCGCGATCTTCACAATGTTGTTATCACCAACGAGAACATTGCGTGCAGCAAGATCACGATGGACGAGGCACTTTTCCTCCAAGTAGGCCA